TCTGCTATGGTAAAAGTACCGTGGTTGGTGAAGCAAAAGGTGATAAGGAATGTGCCTGCTTTGCAGTAGCATACGCAGTATCTATTCTTTAGGTAAATGATCCTGCTAACAATATATTCGATCAGTCACACATGAGACAACACATGATTGAATGTCTCAAAAACATATTTTACATGCCATTCCCATCTATGACATGAAAATCATGATGCAATGTATCAGATTATGTTACCCAACTACATTGATTATTACAAACAAGTTAACAAATGTATGTTATTTAATGTTCAATGTTATTGTATTGGTCTAGGTAGCTAATTATACTTGCAAAATGCATGGTGGAATGCTAAAGGTGACCAGATAAATGTTGCGTAGCTATCCCATATTGCAGGAAATTTTGGAGGGAGTTGAATTCGGCAAATTACTATATTTTGGTAATTGGCAAATTTGTGGTCACATACCATTGAGCATGCATATAATGGCTTGAAATGGTGGATTTTATTTTGGAGTTTTGCTATCAAAATGCCAAGTTCACCAACTTCAATTCCCTCCAAAATTTTCCACTACAGTATATGAGGGAAACTAAGTGCTGTTACATTTTGAAAAAAAGTGCAGAGGGCACAAATTCTTCCCCATAGTATTATAGAGACAAAGTAGTGCAGCAAGCATTAATTCTTCCCTTAAGTATTGTAGGAACAAAATAGTGCAGCAGGCACTAATTCTTCCCTATAGTGTTGTAGGGACAAAATAGTGCTTGGTACTAATTTCTGCCTACATAGATAGGTCAAATTGTATATGTGTATAATAGTGCCTAGTGACACCATTATGTAGGAAGGAAATAGTGCAATTGAACACTATTTCCTCCCTCTATAATCATGGTTTTTAAATTTAATGACATACTCTACCAATCGTAAAAAACAGACATACCCCAACACAAAAGCTTCAAAAACATTTGCAAAACAGCTGATGGCAATTAGATATACAAGTATAAAACAACCAAATACTTAGCTGTAGCAACAAGTGAAGTGGTGCTACAAGTTACAAAAAGTCTATTCATTCAGGAGTCATGCAATAAGTAAAATAGCTGTTCGGCTTGCTATTAATAGTACTACTTCATCTCGTAACAAGACATTTTCCTTCAATTCCACTTAAGATGATTGACAATGAGCCACAACTCTCGTTATTGCCCTCACCGACGCCATAGGCGTATAGGAAAGGGTACTGCTCTCCTTAATTACATGTACTTCCCCTGCAACTCTTCTATAGATCATTCCCATCCACTAGCTATGCTTAACTAACACAGAGTTACATGAAATCATACCTTTTCCCAACTTTTCTTTCCCAAATGATGAAATCTTTCTTTTCTTAGGGTCCTCCTGTCAACTTTTCTTGTCTTAGCTCGTGTCTTTGGCATCTTCTATAGATACATCATACATCTTTGTTAGAAACATTCAATTCTACCTCAATTATTAAACAAGGTCCAACAAAAGTAACGTGGATAAAACTGCGATACACAGTTAAAGTGAACAGTCAACAGTCTTATAGCCGCACCTACTCAAATTAATTGCATTATAGATAACAAACAGGAAGTGATATTGATGTGCCATATGCTCTTGACGCCGAATATGACTCATAGAGCATATGATGAATAATCTACACATGTGAATAAGCATGGCAATTAGCAATGAAGACTGATAGTGAGGAGTTGCACTTCATTTAGAGCCAAGTTCTCAGTTGGATGAGCTCCAGGTGAATACTTCTACCACCAAGTAGGTCAAATCACACATTTATTTTGTGATGAAGTGAAAAGGGGATAAAACAAAAGCTCTAGAGACTATTGTGTATTACATCAAACATAAGATATTATTTTATATGCCTATAATAATAATTTTAGTCATAATTTAGGTTCAACAGATGCTTTTTGCCATCTATATATACAAAGTTTTATCAACACCTTCACTCTTTCAGAACAAAATTCATCGTGTGCAAAGTTAGCGTATTCCCTTCCTGTTTCTCACTTAATCATGTGAGACTAAATTATCATAAACTTTAATTCATAACAAAGTAATCATTTTCATGGAGACTGTAATAATATTCATTAATGCAATATTATATTTATAGCAAAACATTAATGCTGTCACTTGCTCGCAAAAGCTACAATAAATAGAATTATCAATAAAAACAAAACTGCATTTAGTAATGGAAAAATAGCAGTGTTATCTGGTAGAATCAATAATGGCAAGTTTCCTACTCGCTTATTTGTTGAAATCCATGCTTCACTTAAGCTGCCATACACCAGGAAAACGAGAACATCAACTTCCATTGCAACCGAGTCTGGAATGAGAGTAAAATTACCTAATTACTAGAACAAGTAAGTTTCTAAAGAATAAAAAGATATGCACAAATATTTAAAAAGTATTTGAAGTTCAATGCATAATTGATAAACAGTGCATGGTAAAAATTTAAAAGCAGCACAAGTGGTACAACTTTTTAATTCCATTTAAGTTTCGGTATTTATAATTTAAAGACAGACATTACTGTATAGCCGGTAATTCTCATGGGTTGCAAAGTTCATGGATTTCACGTATTCCTTATTGATTCACGAAAATTAATTTAATATGGTACCTGCATGGTACACGTGGTAGAATTCACGAAATTAAAATCCGCGAATTGGATTGTTAGTAGATTTTGCGAAATACAGGACCCAAAAATTACCAGCCATACGGTATTATATGTACATGTATTAGAAAAGGCTTACTGATACTGCATTGTGTCCATTCAACAGGTACAATGGATAACAAACAGTAGTCCCCCAACTCAACAGTCAACAATCAAATGATTAACACATGTTAGGCTGAGGTTGTCCTTGCCTGTAGCCAATCTATGATAAAACAGTCAAAAAATTATAGCTACATGTACATGACATCAATTAACTTTAACACAAGCATCCGTGACAACAAGACGCACCTAAAAGTGTTCAAATTAAGTTGTCAGTACTTGTACTTTACCGAAAATATCAATAAATGACTTTAAAAGACACAAATCCTGATATACAAGGGAGTGGTGACCCTGTCCCGTCCAACAAAGATCAGGAACTGGTTCGTCACTACAAGACGCACCTAAAAGTGTTCAAATTAAGTTGGTAATACTTGTACTTTACGGTATATATCCATTAATCCCATTAAAATACACAAATCCTGATATACAAGGGAGTGGTGACCCTGTCCCGTCCAACATAGATCAGAAACTGGTCCGTCACTACAAGACGCACCTAAAAGTGTTCAAATTAAGTTGGTAGTACTAGTACTTTATTGTAAATATCAATAAATGACTTTACCGTTTTAGGTTATAGACATTGATCCATTCAGTTACTCCTGGCTCACAAGGATGAATTACAATAGCATCATATATCTACATGTACACACAGTATGTTATACAGTTGTATCAATTAAAGATGAAAAATTACTTAATGAGTACATGTACATTGTACATCATGTAAATGCAAATTTCTGGAATTCAAGAAACAAAAGTAGTAAAATTACATACCGTACATTGGAAATGAAGAACTACACATCCTGTATGCACATGTACATGTACATAGGTATCAAGCAGGCTTAAATAATTATTTGAGTGTGGTCAAATGCTTAAATAGTACTACAATAGAGTACTCGTACTCATACTCAATACAATTTGCAAAAATGAGGGACTTGTACTTGTACTCATTTTAAAATTTTAACAGATACATGTAATGTACTTAAATACTTCTTAGAGTACATGTACTTTGCCCCAAGCCAGGTAGCAAGTAGAAATTTAGGCAAATAAAATTTTACCTATAAACCAAAACCTTAACTTAAGACGTTGGCATGGTAAAACATTTGTAAAAAAATATTAATTTCCGAACCTTCATTTTTAAAAAGCAACTTGCCCAAATTATCTATTCCAATCTACATGCATCTACTATGTACGACATACATGTTACATGTAGCTACACAATATATCATCATTACCTGCCACGAGTCTCTGTGAACAACAAGAGCTAGTAAGAAGTCTGCAATTAAGTCAATGAGAATGGACAGGAAGACCTAAATAGATCAGTCAACTCCTTTATCTCAATAATAGTGTGAATCAATCATACCTTTAATGTACCATCAACTGTAACGGCAATCTCTGCATCTGTAATGTGAGTAAGAAAGAGGAGACAAAAGTGTTAAAAGTGTAAAAACAAACCCAATTTATGGCCTATTAATATTAAATTTGTGTCATGTCTTCAGAAGAATTACTGTACGTGTTATCATTTTGAAAAATGTGATGTAGTATTAACACAACATACAAAACTACATATTACATGTACATTTATGTCTTGGTGTAGCCATTGACAAAAGGTCTCAGAAAAGCTCATTAACATAATTGTAGACTGATCAAAATTACATGAATGCATTAGAAAATAGACAAAAAATATTAAAAGTACTAATTATTAAATTGGGTACCTCTAACCACAGAATAGAGGCCCAACATGTACATGTATGTCTGTCTGTCAGCAGTTAATCAACAGAACAGGTGACTGTATAAAACGTGCATTGTTTCACAAGTATACACTACAAACAATGTTGGCTACACAATTAATCACATTAAAAATTTCATAGATGTACATGTGTATAGCAAATAAATTATATTAATTGCAAATAACAATTTCACTTTTTTGTTATAAAACAATAATAATAGATTGCACACACTCTTAGGAACACCTCAGACATTGAGTTGAGGTTGTACAAATTAACATTACAGTCATTTAGTTTATCATTACTAGCTTTCAAAT